TCTACTATCTATCTCTTCAAAATCGAATCTTATAAAATACGACTATTAGTTGCAGAGATATATAATTCGTTTCAGGAGAATTGAATTCATTTCTCCTCTCTTAGATTTATTGTACTCAGTTAATCAACCTCTTATTTTTTTGTGGGATGTAATCACTTATCAAGATGTGTGTGTGTTTCAAATAATGTCCGGATTAATTAAATACGGACAATCCTACACAGAGAGTAGTTTATGTTTGTCGGTTGATTAATTATGTTTACTTTGGTTATTTATTTTGAAAGAAACTTAAACGTGATATATTTGTTTGTTTGCAATTTACAGATGTTTTTGTATTCATTAGACGATAAATTTTATTGATTGGAGTCACTGACTATGAATTACAATTATTTCTGACCCTAAATATGTTCTCCTCACATTAATAAGAGGAAATAAAGATAAAATTATACATGTTTGATCATTGGCTGATATCATTTTGAGAACCAGTGGAAAACCAGAGAGTACTCGACAGGCATTTCATCCTAGTTCCTGGAAATCTTCAGCGGTATTCAGCTACTAGGGTTTTAACAAAAAACCCTCTGGTTTTCAGGGTGCATACTGATGAAGATTCCCAAACTAGGACAAAACCGCTGTCCTGCACTTTCCCTGTTCAGGTAGGTAGTTAACTGGGGTTCTACTGAGAAGTCGTGACCATAGGATGCAGCAAGTCGAGTGTGAGGACAAATACTCGCCGAAGACATAGGCTAGCGGTCGTGCTATATCGTGAATTGGCAGAAGTTGGATTTCATGGGCTGGCCATTGGATCGGGTCAGGTGCCAGGGGCTTAATAGTCTACGAGCTCGCCTTGTAACCAGAAGCTTCTAGGTTCGAATCCCACTTGGTGCGTACTGATGAAGAGTCTCAAACTAGGATGAAACCGCTGTCCTGTACTTCCAGTTGGTTTTCCAACGGTTCTCTAACCAATATCAGCCCAATTAACCAAATCCGTACAAACCAATACTTTAAGGAAGTCTTATAGACCATTCAACCACTGGGAGGTGATCTCATAACAAGTTCATGAATTCTAGCCTCTATCAATAATGATTTCGGCGTGACCATTAACCAGTATCATTGTCGAATATTTTTCCTCACGCCACACTTGATCAAATCTACTGGCCATGACTGAGCAACTTGGTCTTATAACCATTGATTATCGGGTACCACACAATTATTTAAATCAATGGGTGAGACAAACGTTTAAAACAAATATTTACATAACACCCAATTGTAGCCTTTCTAATATAGTTATGTTTGCAGATGAGTTTACTGAATTCGCTGCTCCTGCATTCGGAAACTCGTTGTCTATAGTCTGTGGTGATTTTAATTCATGTGATCACAGCTTTCTTACTTCACTTGGTCATGAGAATCTAGTCAAGTTTAATACACGTCTGGACAAATCACTAGACCTGGTTTTCATAAATGACCGTGATGTATATGAAACCCGAAGGAGAGCTCCTTTGCTAAATTCTGACCACTGCATTATTCGTATTTTACCGAAAGTGTTACAACAAAAATTGTTTAGTCATTTAACAAAGAAGATACATGAACGTTCATATTCCCATGACAACATTCTAGCATTAAGAAGCATGTTGCATGATACCAACTGGGAACTATTTACTGACGATAAGTTGGATGCTACTGTCTCTAATATAACCGATTATCTGAAGTTTTGTTTGGAAATTTGCTGTCCTTATGAAACACTGTTTTCGAGATTTGACAGAATCTCTTCTGTGCAACTGAAAAAACTTAGAAGACAAAAAGAGAAGTTGTATAAGAATTGTGATAATACTGGTGTCCGTAAAATAAACACCCTTATAAAAATTGAAATAGAAAGGTTGAACAGACTATATAATGAAAAATTTTTATCATGTAAAAATCCTTCAAACATTTGGAAACTTTTCAATAAACTTACAAGTAAAAAACAAATGTCTGTTGATGCTTATTCTGATGTTAATGCTTTAAACAAATCATTTATCAAGAAACAAATTAATATGGTTGTACCTGATGTACCTAGTCAAGAAAATGGTCATTTTCAGGGTTTTAAAGAAAAGGATGTACTATTATGTTTGAAGTCATTAAATCCAACACACAGCCTTGGTCCAGATGGTGTACCAAGCATTCTTCTTCAAAAGTGTGCAGACATCTTGTGTCATCCTCTTACTCAAATCTTTAACGCATCATTTAAGAGGGAAACGGTACCTGCTGACTGGAAAGAAATCAAGGTTGTACCTGTACAGAAATCATCTTCTGGAGCAGGTATAAAGTTTAGACCGGTCGCTATAACATCTCCTTTTTTGAAAACTATGGAGAAACTTCTTTTGAATATTCTTAAACCTTCTTTAAAAGCAGTTTGCTTATAAGTGTGGAAGAAGTACATTAGATGCAGCCATTGTACTACACCACAAGGGCGCTAAGTTCGTTCGAACAGCTTTTTAGACTATACTGCAGCTTTCGACTCTGTTCCTAGGACACTTTTATTAGGAAAGATGATTTCAGCACAAACAGAGTCCTGGGCAACTAGATGGCTGTCTTCTTATTTTAAGGATAGGAAACAGCATACTGTTTTGGCTGGAAAGCGCTCCACTTCTCAGCTAACTGAAAGTGGTGTGCCTCAAGGTGCAGTACTTTCTCCATTTCTTTTCTCTTTCTTTTGCATGACCTTCCGAACTCACCCAAAGTTAACTTCATTAAGTATGCTGATGATCTGACCGTTTCTGTCCCTGTAGTTTCCACATCGGATTGTTCCCATATGAATGGCTTCTTAGCTGAAGTTAAGGATTGGTCTGGCTCAAATGGTCTTAAACTAAATCCAACTAAATGTAACACTGTTGATTTCAGCTTGAGAAGTGAAAAAGACATGCATGGATTGATTCAATCTCATGATTGTTGTAATATTGATGGTACCATGATAGAGAGTAAGTCAAGTGTTTCTTATCTTGGCATTAGTTTCTCTTCAAACCTTTGCTGGTCGTCTCATATTCTTATAGTTTCTAAGAAAGTTTTCCGTCTGACTTATTACATAAAGAAGTTGAGACACTCAGGTATAACCCAATCTCTTATCATACAATTTATTAATTCATGTGTTTTGCCCATCATTCTTTATTGTTCTCCATTATTCTTCCCTGGGCTACTCAAGAAAGACCATATAATACTACGAAGAACATTGAGGGCTGTAAGTAGGGTCAGTGCTATCCCTTTGACTCAACTAAATGACACTGTTGTCAATAGGCATATGAATTCTTGTAAACACTTAGCTAAAGTTATCTTATCTGATAGTGAACATCCTCTTTATTCACAATTGTTTCCTTGTATCTCTTCGGGTAAGACCAGAAGAAATTTTATAAACATTTATGCTCGTACTACAAAATATAAAAATTCGACCGTTCCATATTTGGCACGAGTATTGTGTGAAGAGACAAATATCAGAAAAGAACTTTTACAACTTTTGAATCATTAACTAAACTATAAAATGTAATGATGCATATTAATGCATGTGTTATTTGTTATATTATTTATTTATTATTCACTATGACCTAGCAATGGTGTGATTTTGTTGGGGTTTTATTTTTTCCTATTAACTATCAATATTTTAACATTTTATACATTTATATAATTATAAACAGAGCTAAACCATTGCAATATGTAAAAGAAACGCTGAAAATTCCATGCTGTAAATTGTTATTGTTGTGGAATAAAGTGATTACATTATATATCATATTATTATATGTTCATCCAACCTGTATTCATAATATCAAATATGTACCTGCCAGTTTGACTGCTCCTGTGTAGCCAGATATACTCGACATAAAATTACTCAGGTTCACAACTCGACATTTTAAAATCTTTTGCATGGTTAAGTGAGGGACAAACAACATCTATTCGTAGCTCTGTTCTCTAACACACTTACAGATAATGAGCGTAAGGTTGATATTAGGAAAACATTTGAAGATATTTATCGCATGCCGACCGAAATCGATTTTGCTTTACAAAGTCGTCTTCTACATATGGCTTAAATCCAAAAGCAAAAACTGTGTGCTCGGAAGAAATTCGAGCAGATTTGGCTACCTTAACTTGAATATTGTTACATACAGAAGATGGAATAGGGAAGGCTAATACGCAGGCGTTCGTTACTCTGAAATCACTTTGGGAATTTATCGTACTCAAGATGTTTTTTTTCTTTCACGTTCGCGGTGGAACAAAAAGGGCCTCAAGCTAGTGGCTTGAAGTTTCTGTAGCAATGTTTATTTTAAAGGATGAGGTTGCTAGCCTGATGCCCAACCTTTCCTCTTTACCAGCATTATTTCTGGCTTAGCGAGGTAAAGGAGTGCATCGGTGGCCGGGGAGCGAACCCCAGACCATGTGCATGTCCGGCTGGCGTCCTGACCTCTATGCCACCAACACACACTCAGGATAGGGAAGAAAATCCGAGTTATCAATACATAGATCAAATCAGTGATTATTATGTGGTTCAGAGACTCTGCAAATACATAGCCAAAACCATTTTTTCAGCAGGTCACTGCAAACTTCCACAAACAGCTATCTTCACTCCATCAATGAAGGTTAGACGCTTGGCCGAAAAGTAAAATCCGCAAGAAACTCTGGCTTTGCAAGTAATCAAGCAAACATCTATTGCCAGAAAAATATAGCGAAAGAAATGATGAAAGATTCGATATATTTGCCATGAAGACATTCAACTGACCATGCTCCAGGCTGTCAAATAGAACCTGAATAGGAAACGACGATTTGAACATGGAGGAGATCTTCCAGGGAGAAGATGGAATCTTATGTGCCATAGTGGTTGAGACAGCTAAAAACGACTAAAAGGAAACAAAGTGAAATGGCAATGTGCTCAAGCTGAAACCCTATGTTCCACACGGAACCCAGAGGAACAATAATGATAATCGTAAATGATAATTCAGTTTAATAATTATAAAACGTTTAAGAAAAAAATACATTTCAAATACCTTTTCTTCAGTTCAAGTGCTTTCTGAAACCCACTTCGATCTTCTGCCAAAACAATAGCACCACGAACATTTGCGGCAATCGCTCTAGCGATAACATTGTCAATATCCTTAATTAATTTTAAACAAAAAATGAAAAAAATAATTGAAGATTCAATATGAATAACGTATCAAATACTAAATCAGAAGTGTACAAATAATGATTTGTCATAAATGCTACAATCACTGTTGGTCATATGAAAATTTACTTTAAATGTATGGAACTTTTTAAAAAAATTCACATTTGAATCGAAAAATGAACAAGGAGAGTTAGCTATGGTATTAGATTGCAAAATCACTGCGTCGGTGGCACAGTGGTTAGGACTCTTGCCGACCATGCACATGATCCGGGGCTCGAGCCCACGCCGACGCACACCTGATATCTATGGTCGGCCTGCGAATTTCGGGCTACCGATATCCATGCTGAAAATTCCATAATTGCACTAAAAATACGGTGTGGAATCAAGCTGTAATCAAAAATAAAAAAAATAACAAAAAAAATAAAAATAAAAAAAGAAGGTAAACTGCACACTAGTGTTTATAAAAAAAACTAACACTTTCTAATAGATATTTAGACTTTAATTCGTCTCATAAGTTAACTGTTAGAACAGGCTTAGTTAAGGGTCCAACAAACTCAGCAGGAGCGGTAAGTGGTACAACAAAAACCTCAATGATTAAATGAAACAGATAGAAGAATAACTGGTTGATGTTAAATAACTAACTATCTTCTGAGATTCATTAGGAAGATCAGAAAAGGCCAAAATCGAAATAAAAATAATTGTGAAACTAGTAATAATAACATAATTAAGAGAGAATAAAAGGCATCTACAGTAATTTTACCATATAAAGAGGAAGATTCTCAATAAAGCAGGAATCAGAGTGGCATTCAAACCTACAAACTCACTCAGGTAGGACAAGCTCTGTAGGCTAAAAGACCCGGTGGAACCAATTAGGCAAAATAATATAATTTACAAAATACCTTGCCATGACTTTGAGTGAGGTCAACTACACAGGTCAAACCAATAAGTCGGGAGTAGTCAGATTGTCGGAACAAAAGAATTTAGCTAAGGTTAGAATGATTGGCCTAAAGAAGATAAGCAATTTACGAAAAAGCTCAGCAATTACACTTCATGCATTAACACACAACCACACAGTAGGGTGGGACAGAATCGAAATTCCAAGAAGTAATCTATGTAGGTGGAGGGAGAGATAGGTTGATTGTCGAATCCTTGTTCATCTACTTTACACCCAAAACTTGCAATAGGAATGACTAATCACTCATTCCAAAAATATGGAATATACTGCTGCCAATAAAATCAACGATAGGAACTAGTGGAATTACTCAGACGAAGTTAGAAAGTTGTGTGAGTAACTTCATAGGACTATGGGCAGTAATAAATTGTGCTGAAAACGTGGTCATCATATAATATTACTGTATAATACTCTGAGACTTTATCAAAATAAATTGTACCCATAATGGGATTGTACTGTACCACAGTGCACAAGTCTTATTCTTATATCAATTAATGGGATTTTGCAGCTCAATGAATGTATTCGCCGAAAAGAGACTCTTCTCTACACTCTTCGGTGTTATATTCATGTCTGGATGTGTATTCACCATGAAATTCGATTTTCAGAGCCATTGCTTGGCACTCAGCTAATAAAAGACACTTGATCAAAGCTGATGAATAAACAAATCACTGCATGACTAGATTGAAATTCTGTAGGTGTCACTATCCGAAGAGTGTAGACTGAGTCTTGTTTTGAAAAAAAGGAGACTGTTACTTAATTATTACTACTGTTGTAAGCACAGACTCTTCCATATTAACTCACTGAAATTTCAATTCCCTTTAATGACGTAACCTCGTATTTGCTTCCATCTAGATTCTCTTACACGATTTAATCATGAGCTGACATTAGTTAGAGAACCATTGTAAAACGTGGGAGTACTGGACGGCCAGCTGTTTCGTATTAGTTTAGGATTCTTCAGTGGTACGCACTCACTGAGCTTCGAATCCAGGACCGTCTGGTTACAAGGAGAGCTCTAATGTGAGTCATGGTTCGGAAGTAGAATCCTCATCGATGACGTGTTTAGTCCGAAATCAAACACCAGATGACGTAACCCACTAAACTCACTCACTAGGTAGTAAGCCCAGTTTCGAATCCCTATTCTCCATGAAGAAAGTAAAGGAATAAAAATGATTTCAAATTGAGATGATTCTACTCTTATAAAATAAAGTTTATGCATTCAGGTCAAGTCTGACGAGATTATATCAAAACTGATTATTTCTGTATTATACTTTACTATCCAGGTCGTATGCAACTGATGAAAACCCTATGAAACGGAAAGAAATGAATTCACCTCATCCGGTTAAACAGCCGTCCCTACTGTGTTATTCAAATTCATTCTGACTTTCTCATATAATTAAGTTCCTTTGAAATAAAAATGAGGCTTAACTTCAGGTCATTACATTTAAAATTTGTTGGTTACTTTAGTTACTAGAAAAAACTCCACCTCAGACAACTAATTCTTTCTGTTTTGTTTTAGCGTGGACTACATTTAAAGGTCAGTTTTAGTTCTGTGAGGTTTTAGCAAATCAATTTATTCTTTTTTCCATGTGAAAACAATAATTCTTCTAAAGAACATTTGATGAGTGAAAATAAGAAGCGAATCAATAATTTTATTATTCTCATTTCTGTGTAGATGCGATCTTGGTTTCTGCTTGTCACACGTGAAGCAGTTATCATTGTCCATTATTCAAGTTTATTAAACTGCTACGGAATTAACAACTGACAAATTTCAATAGCTGGGCACCTACTGGTCGAAGACGAAACCTGATTAAATCATTTATCATTCGTATTCGGCGCATATATGCTCCTGATGTTGTGGTGGAACAGTTATATATTTTTGATCTAACACTAGTAACTAGTGTGATGTGTCTAGTCCTCTCATCGGTCCAGGCTGAATTCTATCAGTCAGGTTGTAATGCACCAATGAGGGGACTAGACACATCATACTAGTTACTGGCGTCAGATCAAAAATATCAACTACAGTCCTACAGGAGGTCAATAGCGAGGCCGAATAGCTCAGTGGTGACGTCTCTGACTGTAGGGCAGCAGTGGGTGACGCGGGTTCGGATCTCAGAAAGGAATGAGTTGCTCCTTCAAGGTTGCAGATACGCCTTGCTGATGAGTGCCAACTAGCACAAAACCTAGGTTCAAGGCTTCCTGCGGCCGATCGCCTCAAACTATCTAACAGGAAGAGTTATATGTTCTAAGGAAAGTCCTTAAGGAAATTGATTTACGACACGTTTTATAGACAAGAACATACAGTTAAACCTATTATATGTGATCTAATATCCGTAATCAAGTAAATGATGTATATGAACGATAATATCAAAGATGACAGCCATAAAATAAGGATTTAAGAGTTCATGAAATAGACATTATCACTACATCATCACTTTTCAGTAAGCTAAAGGAAAAGATTCCTCAGTTGATCAACTTTATGTGCGTCTATCTATAAATTCCCCTGCTCTAGTTCAGCTAGACATATTGGTCGTTCCAACCGGGTTTCATCCAAGAAGGTGACAAAAAACATTCTCCTGAATAACTACGAAGAGGGAGGTGTGGGATTTCGGCTGTTGGAAATGCAATAACTGATCATCTGATCCATGCTGATTACCTTACTTTTACAGCCTGTTCCTTCAAAGTTATCCTCAAGGTGAAAAGTAACCTAAACAAACCACCTGAGCTGCTGAAGCCTTGGTCACCGAGGCATATAAAAGCAAGACCTTTGTGTACAGGAAACGTTTTTTGTTCAACCATTCCCTCTTTCATCAGCCTAATCGAACACTACTAACCAGTTATAATCTCCAATCCTAATATATTTTTCATTCCGTTTATTCGCTTTGTTTATCCTTTCCTCATTATGTCAACTGTTATTGAAAAAAATTCGTCGTTTTTATAAATTTTGATAGTGTTATTAGACGACGGAGATTATCTGAAAAATGTGATGCATTTGAGCTTTACATTTCGAACAATCTGATCACAAGTTTACTCGTCAAGTCAATATATATGGAAAAGTTAAATTAAACAAAGTGACAAAAAAGAGAATTAAGAATAATTAACACAACGTTTGGTAATCCAATCAAATAAGGATTACCACGGTACGTTAAGAGTAATAACAAATTGCTTTGAATACACAGGGGGTGGGGCTTAAGTTTATGAATAACTATAGCCTCAACGTATTTCAGTAAGCGTCCTAGACCATTTTGTATAGATCACCTTAAAAATGTTTTGATCAAATTACCATATAACGGGAAATAAACAGTAAGATTTTGAGACAAAGGTTGAATTCGATCATCCGTAGAACCTATTATGCAGCCCAGCTTGTAATTATCGATAAAGCTAAAAATATGCTTCACTGCAAACTTCAAAAGTGCACAAGTGATTATGCCACATCCCTCACTATTCACCGATTTTCCTGTGTGTGTGGACACACATACATAGGGAGGAATAATCGTGCTTTGCATGTAAGGGTGGGAGAGCATATCTCTAAATAATTAGAAAAACAAATGAATTGTGAAAAACTAATGGACGCAGGTGTCAGACTACCAACTTCGTCCATAGCTAAACGTCTAATCGAGATTAACCATAAGATTGATGTTGACTCAGCCTTTAAGGTGATCTATACAAAATGGTCTAGGACGCTTACGGAAATACGTTGAGGCTATAGTTATTCATAAACTTAAGCCCACCCCCTATGTATTCAAAGCAATTTGTTATTACTCTTAACGTACCTTGGTAATCCTTATTTGATTGGATTACCAAACGTTGTGTTAATTATTCTTAATTCTCTTTTTTTGTTACTTTGTTTAATTTAACTTTTCCATATATATTGACTTGACAATTAAATTTGTGATCAGACTGTTCGAAATGTAAAGCTCAAATGCATCACATTTTTCAGATAATCTCCGTCTTCTAATAACGCTATCACCTGTTATTATTAATTTTGCTTTGAAGAATTTCCATTATCATTTTACTTGTCACATTTTTTTGATTCAACGTA